ATGGAGTTAATTACTCCCTTTTCTGTGCCATTTCTGTGTCTGAGAGATGTTGGGCAAATTATTTTTTTCTATGCTTCACTTCCTCTTCTGTAAAATGGAAATATTAATGGAGCCTAAAGCTTTGAGTTGTTGAAAGAATTAAGAAAATATACACAAAATGACTTAGTTTAGTGCCTGGCACAGAATAATTTATCTATATGTCTCCATGGTGTTTTCCATTGTTAAGGAGTGTTTGAAATAAGGGACCTCATTTATGTTTACTGAGTGACATCAGTGGATAGGATCTACAACATCCAATCCCAACCATGTTGGCATGTTTGTTTCTTCTTCTCATCTGAAAAAAACATATGTTGTCATCAAACAGACTATTTCCTTTTCCCTCTACTATCTCTATTCCTTTGAAATGCTGTTTTGCATAGGTGAAAGATTCCTTATCTATCTTCTTTCTGTCTCTCATTTCTGGTAGTTCTCAAAGAATATAGATTTCAGGAAACTGTTGCCTAGAGATTCTGGTTGAAGAAGACTGGGTGGAGTCCTGAAAACCTGTAGTGAAGAAGATTACCAGGGGGTTTTAATGTATAGCTTTATATGCTCAATATGCCTTGAATAAAGTAGTACTGTGGTTTGTATATGAAGTGTTCTCCCAAAAGACTCATGTTGAAGGCTTGGTTCTAAGCTGGTGGAACCATTGAGAGGTAATTGAGTCATGAGCGCTAACTTCACCAATGAGGTAAGTCACTGATTAATTCAAACTGCATGAGGTACTGGGAGGTGGGCCCTGGTTGAAGGAAGTTAGGTTACTGAGGGTGTACCTTTGAACTTATCTTTTCCTATCCCCTTCCTGTCTGGCTTCTTGGCTTCCATAAAGTAAGCAACTCTACTCTACTTTGCCTTCTGTTATGATGTTTTGCCTTGTCTCAGGCCAAAAGCAATACAGCCAGCTAATGATGGACTGAAACCTCTAACACTGTAAGCTAAAATAAATCCTTCCTTTAATTGTTTCTCTAACTCAAAAGTGGGCTCTTCTGAATGATGGAAAGCTAACTAATCCCAAAAAAGATTTTAGTAATGAAACTCCTGTATCACTTCCTAGATAGTCATGGATGCTTAGACAAAATTCTTTCCTAGTTCCAAAAGGATGCTGTCATCTGTAAGTGCTGAAGCCCCTGAGGCCAGGACAAGTGTCAGCAGACAAAACAATTTGCTCTTGTGTATCAGCTTATCTTTTGTTGGTATCCCTAGAATACTGCCTCACCTAAACTCAAAGAGAAATTTAGGAAATCTTTTGTTCACATATAAAAAAGTGACTTAAGGCAATTCTCCAAAGATATGGAAAAATAATCAACTGAACCAAGAAGAGACAGTTATCCAATAAATAGCGGTCTCAACTATATCCATGATAAAAATACATGTCAACGGATTAAATGAGACAATCAAGATTAAACAATCCAGAGATTAAAGCAGGAGGATCACAAGTTCAAGGCCAACCTGTGCTACATAGTGAGATATTATCACAAAAAAGAACTAACTAACTAAATAAAACGATCCAAATTGTCAAACTAGATTTAAAAACAATAACTATATGCCTTTTATCATTTTTCATTTTTATATTTTATTACTTTAGTTGACAAAAATTACATATATCTATGGTACATAACATGATCTTTTAAAATATATACACATTGTGAAATGGATAAATTGAGGTAATTAATATATACATTACCTCATAAACTTTTTATCATATTTGTGATGTGACAATATTTGAAAATTTCCAGAAATTCTACTGAAAAATCTGCTCTATCAATCGTTCTTCTCTCTTCCATCCAATGCTCAACCCACCATAGTGATCTTCTAGAAGACTAGCAATATTAATGCACTCCAGTTCCTTCAGAGAGCATCTATTCTTGTCTTCCACTCTCCTACAGCATTCTCTGCTCTAACTGTGCCCCAAACAGATGCCTAAAGGCACTGCACTTAAAATTTTAGACATTAAAAACCACATCTCTAACTCAAAAGTGAGCTCCACTGAAACAGGAAAGGCTCTTTGACCACTATTCCAGGCACCTGCACTCAGAAACTACCTAACATATGTTTCTGTTAAAAACCAGTAAGAGCACTGAGGACATACTCTGCAGTAGAGCACTGGCCTAGCATAGGCTAGGCCCTAGGTTTGATCCCCAACACATCAAGAAAAAATGAGAAGAAATAAAATTCTTTGAGGCCTAATTTTCTCTACATTTTAATTGCCAGAGATATGCTGTATAATTTCTTTTTAATTTTTCTTTGAGTAGTGTTCTTCATTTATTTGTATTCTACTGTATTAAACTCTGAACACATCAAACTATCAACAGAGGTGCTGAAAAAATTAGTACTACCTAACTAAATTGCTATGAATTCCAAGCAGATGAAAGAAAAAAAAAGCTAACATTTTAGTAAGCATGGATATCAATATCTTGATAAAACTAGCAACTTTCAGAAACATTTTTGAAAATTTAAAACTCTCAAATACAATAAAGAAAAATGAGTATCTCACATATGTCTACAACAAAAACAACATAATGATTTTTAATGTCTTAAAAATATCAGTCTTCAGTCCAGTACTTCTAGCCTGGACAATTCTATCTTAAGAAAATAGAGAACACAAAATGTGTTTTCAATAGAAAACATATTATCAAAGAGTAATTTATAATAGTGAAAAGTGGAAAACTACCTAGATGTCCAATAATTGGGGAATAGTTAAACAAGAAAAACAACAACAAAGGGAACTATGAAACTCATTAAGCTGAGTTTTATAAAGAATTTTTTTTTTAAATATAGAAACACATTTAATTAATAATGGTAACACAACAAAGTAAAATATAAAACTGCACAGTATAGCCTCAATTGTATACAAAATAATCCAATTTAAAAAATGAAATTCACTAAAATTTCAAGGGTGATTGTTTTCAAGTAAGTGGATAGAAATATGCAAATTTCCCATCCTTATCTTAATCCTCCGTGTTTTAAAACATTATGCAATAAGCATAGTACTGGGCTAAAGGAGTGCCTCAAGTGGTAGAGCACCTGCCTACCAAGTGTGAGGCCCTAAGCTCAAACTCCAGTACTACCAAAAAAAAACCAATAAGCATATTGTTTTTATAATTTTAAAACAATCAAAAGACAAAAATCAAAGTGTTAAAATATGTAACACCTAAATGACCCATTTTTTCCATGCTTAAACAACAACTTCTAAGTATTCACAGATCTATCAGGAAACTCAAAATAATGACTAAAATAACATCATATTTTTAACAAATCCCTAGTAGTTTTTTAGATTCTTCTTCTGCTGATTATTATATGCAATATCAAAACTGGAAAAATAAAATATACCTACTAGCCATTACCTTTCCATCACAGGCTCAAGGTACAATTAAACATGAGGGCACTTGAATTATTTGTATCACCAGACATGACTTCCAATGACCATTGGAACAGAAACAAGAAAGTTCCTCTCTTGAACCAAATCGGGCTGTAATACATATATATGTGGAAGTGTCACAAGGAAACTTCCTGTGCAGCTATCTTAAACAAGCAAAACTGTCTTTTTTTTTTTTATTTTATAAATTCAGGGAACAGGAAGGAACAGGAAGATGGATCAGGTCTTGCCTGGGAGAGTTGGAATCAGTGGGAGAGGGAAGGAGGTGGAAAAGGGTGTAGGAGGGTGAGGATGATACAAATACTGTGTACACAGGTATGTAAACAGAAAAACGATACATGCTGAAACTGTTCCAGGAATGGGGGAGGGAGGAGATAAAGGAGAATGGTGAAGGGGATGAATTCAAGAAAGATACATTTTGTTGTTATACTATAAGAATTTTTATAAATGCCATAATGCACCCCTACACAGCACAACAATAAAAACAAAAATGGAAAACAAATTTAAAGAAACAAAGTGGCTCTCTTCAGACCAACGCCAGGTACACCCTTCTAAAACAATGGGTTTACTGAACCAACCATGAAAAGAAGGAATATTCCAAGATTCCTTTTGAAAGAGTTCAATAACTATCTGAGCTGCTTTGACCAGAAAATCTGTCCCTCCTTCCATTGTCACATCAGATAACATGATATTCTTGGCAAAAGGAACACTGTGCTTTGAAGGCCTACTGAGGTTCATTTTGCTTTTTCGGTTTAAAAAACAATCTTCAAAATTACTCACGGGATACAACATACATTTCTCATCAGACATCTCCTTTTCTGTAGAAGACTATGTGATTTGACAAAAAGACTATAGGCTTTGTAGTCAGCAAAACTGGCTTGTATTTTACCAGCCTTGTGACCTTGGCAAATTAACTTCCCTAAGCCTAAGCTTCCTGTGAAATAGGGCAATAACCATGCCTACCTAAAGGATTGCTCTAAGAAGTCAATAAACTCCTAAAATTCAAACACCCAGCACAGTATATGGCAGACAGCAGACATTCCAAATGATAGATTTAACTCCTCGGTGTTCACTACTTCATCTGAAGCAGTGCCCTTTGCAATGCAGATGAAAAGGGAATTTTAAAACATTACATTACATGGACAGGCCACTTCTGAAAGTAATTGCTTCAGTATTTTAATTGAATTTTATCCTGAAATTTTTAACAAAGGCCCCTTAATAACAAGAGAATCTAGCCAAAACCTCAAAAAGCCAAAACACAGAATTCGGTCCTTAACTCAATCATTCAGAATTAGACTAAAGCACATGGAAGTCTGGAGTTGTAGATTTACAGATCAAGCCATCATAGATGATAGGGGAATAGTAATTAAAGTTGATGTAAGGGGGAAAATGCTCATGTAAAGTGTCTGCCACACCAAATGTGATTAAAATAGCATGGTGCTTTTTATTACAGATTTCCTATTACATCAACTGCCAGTGCTGCATTTCATCAATGTTAATCATTTGGGTCCTTTGGGTCCTGAAAAACGGAGGAAAAAAATAAATCACAAAGCTCAAGGGACTGTGAACCTTGGTCAACACTTACGTCGGCAGACCTTACAACACTGGCCAGCAATGTGCACAGGAAGGGAGTCTGGGGAACAACTGAGAGGAGGACAGAACATCCTTCGGCATTCCACGGCACCACTCTGAGAAAGGAAAGACAGAAAGGAACCTCAGAATTGTCCTTTGAAAGTTCCTGTTGTGGGGACAATTCACACCTCATTCCTAAAACCTCAACAGGGAAAGAGAAACAGTGTGAAGAATGCCCCAGCCCTTTCCACAACCACAAATAAAGTATTTTCTCCAGCCTGAATGAACCCATGTCACCTCAATTACTTTTCTGATATACATCACTGACTTCATCCCACCTGCCCATGTGGACTAAGTAGATTAGGCAGAAAACAAAAAGCCTATTTTTACAAGAACATAAATAACACCTTTTGCAGACCCTGTCAATCATTTTTGAGGCTCTAACAATCCATTTTGTATTTTCTTGGACAAACAATAGCATTCTTCAGATATTTATCAAGTAATTTCAGCTGGACGGGGTTTACATACTAATTTTTGAATGGAGCTCTTGTATTTCTCTGAAACATATGATGGAGTCTACAAATGATGGATATCCTTAAAGGCAGGGAATGGGGAAAATGTCCTGCAATTCTTTGAAACAGATGATAAGATACCTTATGAAGAACAAAAACATTTAGAGACTAATTACATCCTATTAAAATTTATTCTAGCAGAGAAAATGGTGAAGAAAACTAACCATCAGGTTGTTAAAAATTAGAGGATTTTCTTCCCTTTCTACAAGCAAACTTTCAAATTCCAAACAGTTAATTCCTTAATAATAATATTAGATCAAAGGAGAGTATGTCAAGGGGAACAGATTTAATTTCCAAGAATTTAGATAAGAAATGACACTTCTCCAGCATCACTTCTCAAGTGCTCAGATTGCTAAGGATTGGTAGGTATAAAGAAGTTAACATTATATCTTAAGGTGCCCAGTTACACTATAATTAGTGAACCCATCCTCTTTAAACTGTAATTCATTTTACTTATTTACAAAGGGGCTTACTTTGCATGTGCAGTTTCTGCAGTGGTCACCATCAACCCAAGAGTCTTGGTCTCGATAGAGCAGTCCACTCACTTGACAGGTCTTCTCACAATGGCAGTTTTCCAATTGGCTAAGTCTTGTCTCTGCATAATTTAGCTGCAAAAAAAAGTCACTGAGTGTAATTCAATTGCATTGTCCTAACAAAACTAATAGCAACAAGAAAAAAATGCACCCAAGCAGAGAGAAAGAGAAAAAAAATGCTCAGGCTCTGTTTTCTGTTTTTGTTGTATTACTATAGCTTTTAAACACAAGGTGGAATTACTCTAATGTGAAGACATATTGGCTTCCATGGTGTAATGAACACCAAATGAGACATTAAACTATATCCCAGGAGCCTCATGGATGTTCATGAAGGTGTGTACTCGAAGTTCAAGCCCACACAGGCACACTTGTAATTAATGTATTCTCAAGAACTGATTATAATGTTTACTAGAAATCTAATCAGCAACTCTAATGAACTCACATTTATCTCCCACTATCCTCTCCATGTTTTTTACACACTAACCAGAGTGTAATGCTTCATAAGCTAAGAAGTCACTGCTTCATCTCTGATGAAAAATTCTGGGGAGAAGAGGCCAAAAAAAAAAAAAAGAAAAGTCATAGAAGGATCTAGTTTCTCCCCAGTTCAGTAAAACAGAATAGCTCAGGAATTTACTTTGGGGTTCAGATGAAGGTCAAGTGAGGTAGACAAATTTCCAATCAAGAATTGAATTTTATATAATAACGTTTTCTTTTTTTCTAAGCTACCCAATTACTATTAATTACAGAGTCATAGAATTTCCAATTTTAAAGAGAATATAAAGCTTGGATATACTCACAAGAAACTCCTTAGAGTAATTATCTACCCATGTTTGCACATCTCCAGTGATGAAAAACTTACTGTCTTCCAAAGAAAGCCACTTATTTTTTTGTTAATACTTGATACTTGAAATGGCTATCTGGGTTTGAGTGATGAAATCTCTCTGCCTTCTTCTTGCTTAATTCAGTCTTTCCTTATAATCCAGACATCTGAAGTTCTTCTGGTCTCAGAAGAACACATGTGTGTTCTTGACCACATTCAGCACTACCGGTTCCTGTCTAACAGCAACTCACCACATGGTTTCCATCCTCTTTCCTGACTATTTGTCATTTAGTCTATACCAAAGCACAGTGTAGGTCTGGAGGGTAGCTCAGTGGTAGAGTGCATATATGCTCTCTAACATATGTGAAGCCTGAGTTTGATTCCAAGCACCAAATAAATACATAAAAAGATTCTGAAAAAAAAAAAACTTATGACACCATTTTGATATAAGATGTGTATTGTCATATCAACATTACAGAGTAATTAAGCCAAATAGCAATATCACCTGTCTTTCCTTCCCCATATATAGACTCTCATTATCAAAAGAACAAATACCAGTTCCTAAAATCTGTCTTATAATTTTTTTTCCTTCTCAATCATACCAATGTCTCTATACCTTGAGTATTTTCCCAATAAAGCTTAGAGCAATCTTTGATCCAACAAAGTCTATTTGGGGCCAGAATTTTAGGTGTATTGGTTAAACCTGAGAAACAACTCCCACCATCTTTCTAGATTAACTGTAGTGCTACTCTGGAAATGGAATCCATGTGTAATTATAATCTATGGATTTGTCACTCATTTCATCCTCTGCCTCTTGGAATTTCTCAAGAACACCTGACCATTATCCATCTTTTGTGAGTGGTGGCAAAGGGCAGAGAAAATAACAGTATGATCCTAGACAAACACATGTACCATGGAACTAAGTTGACTCTCCTTGAAATATTAGCTTCCCATGACTCTTTCTAAAATGCATGATCTTCAAAAAATCGTCATTTAATACTTCAGCCTAATTATAGAGTTTCTAGAATCTAGAATCTGTGATAATTAAGATCTTTGGGAATTCTTTGGGAAACACAGGAAACTTCCAAGACTTTGCTGAGGTTAAGAAATCAAACCTTATATAGATCAGAGATAATAAAAAGGAAGTAACAACTTATTATTTACTATCTTTATTTCATTTCTATAAGCTCTAGTAGTTCCTACATAAGGTAATGATTAACACATGACCTAGTGTTGAACAAAAGGTAGTTGAACTAGGTCTGCGTACCTCCAAAAGTGGCTCAGAATGAGGTATCTGTTTGTGAGAGGAAGCATGCCTACATTAGTCTGAAAACTTGGAATAACTGTAGTGTCTGTATTACTCCAAGAAAGAACGTTCTTAAAGACCAGATGACCCAAAAGGCAATTCAGTATCTATACTAGTTCCCCAAAATTCTAGAATCTTGCCTAAGGTTAATATTAACAATTACCAGCACGCACTGATCCAACAATGCTGAGCTCTGCTCATCCACAAAACTCAATTCCTAAGCAAAATGTTAGTTTTACTATAACAGATTTTGTTTTCCTTCTGAACTTTGTTTTTATTTTTAATATATTTGGTCTTTTTCTGATAACATGGAAAAACCCTAATCTCCATAATAATAAGAATGTATCAGACAAATACAAAGGCAAAGGGATATTAAGGCAAAAAAGCTAATTTTTCAAAGACATTTAATATGTAATCTCGTCTTCTTTTTCCCCCTGCTAAATCCTATAACAACAATAAAGGAGAAAAACAACTCTGAATCAAAGAATGAATTACATTTTCTGACATTGGTATTAGCAAGCTGAATTTATATAAATTCATTTTCAAAAGCTATTTCTATACTACTTGTCTTATTCTCTGAGGATGCCTGCAGATCCAAAATAGAGATGGTATCAGATCTACATCTCTATTCTGTTTTATCTATGTTCATACAGTTGTTGAAGAAACCATGGGCTGAATCATTTATTCTTAACTCTACACATTCAAAGATAGACAGCAAAGGTCTTTTTCACTGTAAGAGGTCAATGGATGGATCTGAGTACATTAGTCATATAGTAGATTGCTTTTTTTCTTTCTTCCTCTGAAGTACTATCTATTTGGCATTTGCTAAAATAGAAGGGAGAGAAAAGAAAACTTCTATTTTCAAACCTTTAAGTTTAATTGGAAAATCATTATTGAGCTCCTTAAAACAATCAAATTAAATACATTAGGAGTTGAAATGCCATTCCAAGTGTTGCTTGATTTGCCTTCATGGATTTGTCAAAGATTTAAACAAAAGTAATAAAGAAATTCCCATTCTCTAATGTTTCTTCTTTCTGAGCTTGAAGGCAGAATGGGATTATTAGAGCCCAGAGAGGCTGGAGAGCAGGACCCTAGGACCCTACAAAGCCCCTGGCATAGCCAAAGAGCACTTCCTACAACATCAAGACTGACTGAGAGAACTTCAGAGCAACCAGGGAGTCACAGACTGTTATGGACCAGTAAGGTGTCAAGAGAACAATAGCAAAAAGTGGGTAGGGGGGATGCAGGTATTACTTTAGGTAACTATCCTGAACCTTCTCTGACATGAAGAGGTGTGATTTTATAAAAATGTCAAGATTTCTTAAGAAGTCTCTTATCCACTCTGGCCTCTGTCACCTGAATGTGAATGCAAACTGTTTCTATGATCTGTCCTGTCTCAAGCAAGGTCACAGTCATATTCCAGCACCTCCAACCTTAAAAGGAGAAAAGGAACATTGATCCATCCTAGGCAGACCTGTGGGTTGATATGGAATTTACAACTATTTAGTTTTGAGCTGGCTTTGGCTACCAATCCCTGTCCAGTTTGTGTGGTGGCTTTCCTCTCCAGGAGGGCTCCGGAGTTTCCACTATGACCTTAGTATGAGGACTTTCTGCTTTTCAAGACCTCTCAATACCTGGTTCAGACCAAGTTCCTAGCAGCAATTTGTAGGCTCTGCCAGGCTTTATAAAGTCCAACCACCAGGAAAGGAGTGCATTTTTTTGAACACTGCTCCCTCACGGTTGCCCTTTCTCTTTCAGTTTCACAGCTTTATAAATACAACAGCCACCACTTATTAAATATGCATTGTCCTACACCAAACTTCATTTTTCTGGTCTCATGGATTCTCTACAAAACCAGGAATAATTATCACCATTTTACAATTTATTCAGAACAAGTCCAATGACTTGTTCAAGGCTATAAATATCTAAAGAGGTGAAAGAAAGGAGACCCAGAATCAGATCAGTCTGACCTTAAAGCCCCTTCCCTATCTCTACCATGATCTATATGATCACATGTTTATCTTAATCATGGGTGCTGGGCACCGAAAACAAGCCTCCAAACCTTAGCTCCAAACCCATGAAATAAATCTTGTCACAGTCTGAGTCCAAATGGACCTGGTGCCAGAGAATTCTCTCTGAATCTTAGAACCATATTTAATTTCCAGCTTGCCTCACATGTCCTTCTCCATCTCTTTCCATCTGCCAAAAGGATAAATTATACCTTCTGCTCCCACCAAGATGATAGACTCTAGATGTCCTGAAGGACTTCACTGATTAAACCAGCTAAAATGCTGCATTCAACATATAAATAAAAACATTTTTTTTAAATCATCACAAAGCTGACACAAAAGGAAGAAAACCACAGGGCCAAAGCAATGTGAGAGCAGGGACCCCAGGAGGCAAGTGAACACCACAGCTGATCTGTACCATGAAGGTTTCTGAAACATGGAGCCCTTGAGTTCCCACATTGATGGCTGCATTAATTGTAGGAGGACAGAATTAAAGAAAAGGGTCTGCCCAAGATGTCGGACTTAAAGGAAACTCCTATATGACAGTGGGGTCCTGACAGGTTGTACATTCACTTTTAGAGTCAACAGAAGGAAACAAGACTGCACAAAGCACCAACGATCTTTTTATTCAAACCTTGGCACTAGCTGGAATGGAAAAAAAAAGATCTTTCTTGAGAATTCCTTAAAAAGTCCTTCCCTGAAAATTCACCTGGCCTAGCCTAGGTTTGGAGACTAATTTTAAGCAGTGAGATAATATATGATGATCCTGACAGAAACATACACAATGTCAACCCAGTACTTAAAGAATGCCTTCCAATTTCCAAAAAAAGCAAGCAGTTCATAACCAAAAAAGAAGGTTAAAAGGATTTGTTCTTGTCCTTGCCTTCCTCCTTGATAAGTTGTGGTAAGTTCTACATTCATTCCCAAAAGATACCAATCTGAAAACTTTAGCTCTGATCAATGAACTGATCAAACATACCTTTCCCCTTTTCCTTTCTTTTTATTTGCTTTTTCTTCTCCTTTCATATCTTTATACTGCTGCTTGTAGCATTCTCCTCTTCCTCTCCTTTAGTCACTCCTTCTATTTTTTCATCTCTCTTTCCAGTCTTCTTTTCTCCAACCACAAACTGTCTCAACCGTTACCTAACTTTGAGGCTGTAAGTATACCTAAGCTCAGGTTCCAGCTCTGCCACACACTATCTTCAGAAAAACTACCTGACCTTTCTAGACCTCAGTCTTCTTATCTGTAAAGTATACTAATAAACCAAACTTAGCCCTCAGGATTATTATGAGGATAAAAGTGGCGATGAATATAAAAAATTTAAGCATTGGAACAAATGCATAATAAATGCTCAAAAAGTTTTACCTAGCATGAGTAACTTTCTATCTTTTTCTAGATCAACAGCTGAAAAGCTAAAGCCCATGGACTAAATCTGGTCTGCCACTTATTTTTGCATAACCTGTGAGCTAAGAATAATTTTTGTATTTTTCAATGGTTGCATTTTACATTATTATAAATGATTATATTTAAATAAAAATGTATATGCATAACATCCTCAATTTTGCCTCTTAGACTGTAAAACCCAAAAGCTACAGGTTGGCCCTTTTATAGAAAAAAAGCCAATTTCTGTACTAGATTATTGTAGATTCCAAATTGTGCAGTGAAAATGGAAGTGCTCAGTTGTAGAATTATAATTCTACCCACAGTTTGGAAGGAACAGATTTACAAATCTGCCATAGTGCTAGGGGAGGGGATTTAGAAGGTGGATTAAACCATTTTCTGTTTGCAGTTTCCCACAATTAAATATCTTCTGCCTCACAAATATCCATTTTACATAATAGTGTTTTGAAGGGAGAGCTCACTGTGGCTCTTAGACAATGGACACCCAAAAAAGAGAAAAGTGACATTCCCTGAAAGGAAAGAAAAGGGCATCCTCACATCCAGAGAGTGGAGAACCACAACCACCTGAGACTGAGTGGCATATTTCTTGCTCCAAAAATGTGGTAGCATACTAAAATATAATTAACAGTATTGAGATCAAGCTGCTCCAGGCAATATGAAGTAAAAGCCTCTTTATTCCACAGGCTGGGATGGCAAATAATTGCCCAGGTTTCACATTTCCACTGTATCTGAAGTGAAAAGCTAGCGCTCAGGGTCTCAAGCCTCAGCCTCAATCTTTCTCTTCACAAAAGTGTTCCTTCTCTCCCCTCCAGACAAAAGAGGACTTGGCCACCCAAAAATCTAGTTTGAAATAGAAACACTGCCTTTAGTGGTACAATCTATGGGCCCAAAATAGAGCCCTATCTCCTCATCACTTATCTACCCACCAAGTTTTTCCCACCTGCCATGGCTGCAGGTGGAATGAGATTGATGTATCGTTTTCACTGTTACAAAAATTCTTCCTTTTGCAGAGTAATATCCCTTAGGTCCAACCTAATTCCTTCTTTGCCCACGGCTAGAATGCATGTCCACGACTAATGGGTATCATAACAACAGTGTTAACCATTTTCCATTTTTTCAGTGCCTTTCTCCACAAGTCTTTTCATTATGAACCTACACTTTATGAATACATATTAAAGTCCCTAATTATTTACATTTTGGCTCTGCCACTTAACATGAATATCTCTGGGGTAGGAATCATGTATTGTTCATCATTGCCTCTTTGTGCCTAACACAACACATGGAAAACAGCACAGGTCCTCACAAGAAGCTTGTTGCACGAATGATGAAGAGGAGGAAAAGAGGCAGAATTATAAAACTGAAGGTATGGAAAGGCAATTTTTGCCTCCTTTCCTATTTAACTCAAGACCAGTCCTAAAACAAATCATATATTAAAAACCTGATATAATGCCTTCCTGTGACAGTAATCTATCCCTAACAATAGCTATTTTGCCCCTTCTGATTATTGGCAATTATTCTTACATCCAAAATGCATTAGCTTATAAGCAGCAGTGGCTCTGGCCATATATCATCTCACAGTGTTACTAGCTTAATAGCCAGTGGGCAAATTCCTTTCCACTACCAGGGAATCTACAGTGATACACAAGGCCTCTTACTTCCAGGCATTTTTCAAGAAAAACATTTTGATATAGCCTTCCACAAGATCTAAATGGTTATGCTTACTATGGGTGGTACTATTTCAAGTAAGAATAAAACATGTTTGTAGTGACATATTGCAGATGCCAAGACTAAAAATGTTTCCATTGTAACATATCACTCTAAATTCCAGATAGGACAGAGAAAGAAATGAAACATCACAAGTGAAATTTAGATACCTACTTTTGCAGTCATCTTGGCCAAAAGCTCTTGTAAATCCATTATTCCTTGTACCAGGCTTAAGAAATCACTGCAGGTTGGGCAAGCTCAATAAAGAAAATATAAAATATATATTGATTATGTGCTAATATGAAAAAGAAAAGTTTTAAATAGTTTTGACTGTAGAAAGGCTTTTCCTTTTTGTTTAAAATTTTAGTAAAATCACAGAGGATGTCAAGTATGGGTTTTTTTCCCTTTTTAATAAGAAAAAATAAACAGTAAAACAAAGACTGTTAACTGAAAAGAAAGACAACTTGACATTTTTATTACCAGGTGACAGAAAAAATGTAAAATATAAAAGAGGAAAAAGTAGCTCATATCCCAGTCAGTATCTTAAAAAGTAGTTTTATAATATGTATAAATATATATATATAATTAAATATATCTTTTTGTTCCAACATACGTAACCTATTAATGTCCCGCTTACTTGCCTTCAAATTTAAATTTTGTGAAAAACTAGTCTTTTGTAAAACTGAAAAGCACAGAAGTGTATATTACAGATAATTCTCTTTCACCACCCCCAACACCCAGAAAGTCAACAGTGTAAACAGTTTGTGTGTACCCCAGATGTGTTTCTCTGATACTACAAACAAGTTATATACAACTTAAAATTCGCAAATGCTTTAAGTTGCTACTTACTGCGATTTAGGTTTGGACACTGTGTTATATATCCATTTGGCATAAAGATGATTTTCCCATCTTGGATGATCCCCTTGACAAAGAAGAAACAAGTAGTAATCAAGATTAAAGTCACTAGTTCAAGTGGCCCTATGCAGTCAGTCCCATAGCCATACAAGTCAGATTTTTCATTCAAAAAGTGACTTGGCCTTTGTCCATACTATAATACTCAAATCACCCTCTTCTAGAACTCTTGAGAAGTACATTCATCTTTGAAAGCCACAATTAGTTACCACTGGTTAATGTCAATGAGATCACAGCACCAAGGTTCCATCAGCAAGTGTTTTTAAAGTACCAAACGAAAAAAGCATTGATGCAATAAAAAATTTTCTTCAATGTTCTAATCATACTGGAACATTAAATATTGCTGATTTTACAGGACTCATTTTTAAAAGTGAGAAGAAAGAGGTAATAGATTAAAAGGTTTCTACTGATTCATTTGTCAAGGAAATAAAATTAGACATTGGGAAAATTCTATTATGATCTTTACTCCTGAGTTAGAAACAGTGAGTCTTTGCTGGTGAGTCTTAGACTTACTGAACATCTGTGAGAAAGAGCGGGTATTTAGTCTGGGAGAATACACCAAGTTTGAGAAAGTCATCAAGGATAGTATCTCTCTGTGAAAATATTGACTTGGCATTTGGATTTTTTTCAAGTTAAATTTAAGATTCTGTGTTTAGGGTACTTTTTTAAAGTTTTTTTTCAGATTTGATGGAAGAGATATTACAGAACAGATGGAAGATGTGGAAGCTGGTTGAGAATATTGAGCTTAGTCTATAAATAAAATATAGGCTTAAGATAGTGCTACAAGTCTTTCAAAGGGAGTAACATTTAACATTAATGTGCTCATCTAAACAGCAGAAGGCAATCAGCAAATGCTGCTTTCTGCTTATTATCTCAAGATAAAATCTGAACTGGAAATATTAAAAGAAATAACAGGATCACAGCACCTCTTCAGCAGAACTATATACATTTATTAACCTCTTTTTCTTCAAGGATGACACAGAGGTTATGATTATGAGAAGAGACTTCTTCCCCTAACCACTGCTCTTTCAATATTGATTCATAATCTCTTACAGGATATCAGGGAACAATTAGCAGAGTACAATCTAAGTGAATCACCTTTTCTCTGGGACAAGGCTGCTCGGTTTTTCAAAGCAGATTAATTCCTCCAAGAGGTTAGTACACCTTCCAAGTACATTTGGAACTTAGAAAAAATATATGATTAGAAGTCAGGGATCTGGGTTCAAATTCTGGAACTGACTATAGTTTACTGGGTAGACTGAGACAATTAGTCAACCACCATCTCTGAGCCTCAATTATCTCATCTGGATAAGAAGTGTTTGGACAATGCTAGCAGAAAGCACCTGCACAACCCCAGTACAGCAAAAAAGGAAGAAAGGAAGAAGAAGGAGGAGGAGGCAGAGGAGGAGGAAGATGAAGAAGAAGAAGAATTATTGGATTAAAAGAAGCTAATGATCATGATCCTTCCAACACTCAAGTTCTGGATCAATTAAACAGGTCTCTGAGCTAATATTGGCAAATTTTAGTTCTCTGTGCCTGCATTACCTCTCATTTAGTGTGTGTGTGTGTGTGTGTGTGTGTGTGTATAGATATATACTGATTTTCATTAAAGAACAGACGATCATAGAAAACTGAGTATCATATTAGAAAACATCTGTCTAATCAGATTGATTTTGGATTAAAGTAACCAACCATCCTGGTTTGCCCAGGACTTAGGGACTTTGTAGAACATGGAGAATTTCAGTGCTAAAACCAAAAGACTTCCAGGAAAATCAGAACATCTGGTTACCCTGGGTGACACAGAGGTGATAAAAACAGATGCACTAGGAAAAGATTGGGTCTAGATATTTCCCGTTCATCAGAGGATACTAAATCATTCTTATTTTTATCACCCACAGAAAAAGGGTACTCAGAGATCTCTATTACATTTGTCATGATATTAATTACCTTTCAAAAAAATTGGATAATCACTTTAAAAAGATACTCTGTCCCACTCATCTGACAGCAAGAGAATATAGGACATGGCAGTTTCCTTGTCTTTTTTTTTTATAATTTTAAGCATATATTAATTGTACAGGAGGTTTCATTGCAACATTTATACAATCGATTTTAAGTAGATTCACCCCCACCATCATTCTCCCTTATCTCCCCCTCCCACTTATTAGAACAATTTCAACAGGTTTCATTGTTCTTTTTTTATAAATGCATACAATGTACATTGACTATATTGGCTCTCCTTCACGCTCTCCATTTACCCTCCCTCATCCCACTGGTACCCACCCTTTGGACAGGACCTATTTTACATTTCTTTCTTTAAGTGTATTGTGAGGGTTTTTTTGTTTAGTTTAGTTTTCCTTTTTATTATCATATATTATTGCTGTACATGGGTACATTGTGACATTTACAAGAATTCTTACAATATATCATAGTTGAATTCACCACCTCCATCATTCTCCTTGATCTCACTCTCCCCCATTCCTGGAATAGTTTCAATAAGTCTCATTTTCCATTTTCATAGATGAGTACATAATATTTCTACTACATTCTCCCTCCTACAACCTTTCTTTATATCCTCCCCTCTCCCACTAGAACCAACCTCCAGACAAGACCTGTTTTACCTTCCTGTTTTCTGTTTTTGAAAAACTACATTTTGGTTTGTTTAAGATAGCTGTACAGGGAGTTTCATTGTGTCATTTCCATGTATATATGTATTATAACCTGAATTGATTCAGTCCCTCTATTCTCTTTTCTACCTTAGTCCCCTTCTTATAGTGATTTCAACAGGTTTAAAAATTCTATATTCATTCTTGTACAGAAAGTACATCAACCATATTTACCTTCTTAACATCATTTATCTTCCCTCTCCTGTTGATGACCTCCTGTAAGTGTGATCTGTTTTTCATAATATTGCTTGTATTTATATTAGGTCTATATTCCACACATGAGAGAAAACATGTGACCTTTGTCTTTCTGAGCCTGGCTTACTTCACTTAACATGATGTCCTCCAATTGTATCCATTTACCTTCAAATCACATGGTTTCATTCTTCCTTGCTTTTCTAATTGAGATACATGATAAATGACAAATTGGATTCCCATACCTTTCCTCTACTGTCTTTCCACTTAATCTCTGGCACATGTGTGTATGTCTTACACAGATCATTAGGTAAAGGTCAATGATGTTGACTTAAAAAAAGAGCTGACAGGTTCCCAATGCTCATTAACACAAAAACCCAAGGCATTGGTACTTTTTCTGAGGAAAGGTCATGAAGAATAGCCCAAATACAGGCACAAAAACTTGTTCTTGCCAAATAAATCAAGATGGAATGTTAATTTGATGCTGAATGGATACAATTCAATGCTGGATTAAAAGAAAGATGACAATACCATACAAATACCAATTGTAACCCAAGGAAGTCCAAACGTAGATGTGTGTGCCCGTAACCACGTGTGTGTCTGTTTCCCAGCACCTTCCCCAGAACAAGAACCAGAAAGTCTTGCATTGAATAACCATGTGAATCATTCAATGACTGGACATTTGCTAACAAAAGAAGCATTGCTAAACTATAAAAAGGAGTTTGTAAAATATGAAATTACAAAGTAGCTCTCATAGCTTTATTCCTCTCCCAAAAATTATCTATGAGGATTTCCATAGATGAAAATGTTCCTTCTGGCACTGTAACTTTTCCCAAAGGAAGTAAGAGATAAAAAGAGAATTCTTATTATTTCTCTCATTTAACTTTAAATGTATTTATACTTAACTGAAATTGCAACCTAGCTGGGCCTGTATTAACTGACCTCATTTTATCTCACTTTTTCAGACCTATGCTTTACTTCATATCATTCGGCTTGGCAGTATTTCTTCAAGTTCCTTAGTTCTGAAACACCTTGAGTATTTTTAACATTCAGATTCCTGGGCCAATCCCATAAGACTCTGTTTCAGTAGGGTTCAAATGACCCTAGGAATATGTCATTGTAAAAGCTGTCCCAGATGATTCTGATGAAAGGTCAAAGATCTCACCTTGAAAACCCTCCTCTATTGTCAATCATTGGCTTCTTTCAGAACAAGAGGTTTTACTCACTAAAAATACCCAGTGTTTAAAATAACACCCAATGCCAACATATGAGCAAAGTAAAATCTTAGTGATTTACAATACAATGGAAATTAACAGAATTACTTGATAATAAACACTATGTGGACAAAACTCATATTCTTTCTTCTCAGTATCCCCTGTTCTTCCTATTGTAGTAGAGTTCATAAGCACAGTAAATATTTTAAAAACATCAAATTCTCCAAAACTATGAAATATACAATATTGAATCACATAATTTTGGGAGCTGTTAAGATCAGATAGGGCATTAGCTTTTAACCTAAAAGGTACATAACAGAATTTTCAAAAAAGTTGGGAGAGGACAGTCAAGTATATTTTGGGAAAGCTTCTGAGGTGATTTTGGTACTCCCAATGAGTACTGGTTTAGGTCAGATCATAGGTCCATTTGATCCATGAGAAACTTAAGGCTCTGATACTTTGAGTACCTTTCCTAAAGAAAAGGACACTTGATCCCAAACCATACACAGAGGAGGTCTACTAACTCCAACACCAGTGCCAGCTATTACAATATGTTGTAGGTTAAAATGTATCATTTAAGGGAGTTCCATAGTTGCATGCCCTAACAAGATATTGCTGCAAAGAGACCCATTATCAAAATAAGGTTTTATTTCAATTGCAATAATGGTACTAATCAAATATGTATAACAAATTATTTGCATTCAATGATAACAGTTTGCTAAAACAGTTTTTCAGTGCTGAAAAACAGAGATGTTTTTAAGATAGCCCACTATTCTTCCCCGTAATCTTATTTACACTGTTAATTTGCTAAACAATTCATTTTCTCACTATTAGTGCAGCACTAAACCTCAGCAGATCTGAAAAATCTAAATGAATCCCTAAAGTGCAGAGTCCAAATTAATAGGCTTTTACTGTCAGTAAAAATGGGAAGGGAAAAAATG